TAACAAAACAACAGTAGCAGAATGTGTATTTACATAGCACGTATGTGTTTTGTGTATCTATTGATATACATGTCCATAGACTGTAGCACATAAAGTAAGCTCTAAAAATACAGAGGCATAGGTCTATTCAATAGGAAAAAGGCTTTTAGGCAAGGGAGTGAAACATTATCCAAACCAAGCCAGACTTCAGCATGTTCCGTTAGAGGCACGATGCGTCCTCTAACGACCATGGCGAGGGATTCCCTGTGTGTCCTTCTCGAGGGATGACTTTCCCCAGCTGACAGACAGGAGAGTTCAGCCCCAGCAAGCCATCACTGCTGCCACACGGTCAGTGGACAGGACAGAACGTCTGTGCCAATCATTTCTTGTGATCCCAAATATTCCCCATGGGATCTCCCTCCTATTACAAAGAGGAGAAAAGCGCATAGCAGCCTGATTCTAGCTGTAAGGACTGTTTTTGATGAAACGATGTCATAGAAAACCTCTTCTTTTCCTTTCAGCACAACACCACAAAAAACAGAATTTTGGGAGTGAAGTTAGCAAGTCAGATTTTGCAGCATTGCTTCAGACATTACCATATAGCTGTGTTTGTTTTCATTTTCAAGATTCCTTCACCACAAGAGAAAATTTGAACTTTTTTCTTTTTTTGATTAAATCTGGAACTTGTACAAAATAATTCAGAATTCTTCTCACGGTCTTAACAGCCATGCACATAGTTTGCAAAATACTGTCTTATTTAATATAAAAGAAGGCCTCTAAAGATCTGTTCATTGTTGTATAGATGACTAATGACATTCCCAAGGCATAGATTTGAATATAGAATAAATCACACTTAATCAAATGTAGTCCTGATCTAAAGCAGACTTGATGAGTCTAAACTCCTCAATAATATCCATTGCCTGAATGATTTTGACTCTTCTTCACCACTAAAATCCATCTCTATTGTTATACAAAATTTTAGATTGATATCTACATCTACCTCCTCTTGCCTGCCTCAGAGACCTTCATAAAATAAGATTGCTAGCTGATTGTTTTATGCTCAGCTGCACACAGGTAACCTAAGGATAGCTTCTCCGATCAGCATGATGCTGGGGCTGGAGAGGAGGCTCCCAATGAGCAACAAGAGAAAATGGACTTCCCGCATGTTTACCATGGACAGGTAGATCTTATCTAAAACTGATGGTAATTCACCTTCACTACTGATGACCATAATCATGTCTCCGGTGCTACGGCAGCTGAGATTTCATTCCACACGCACCTTCTTACTCATGTTCAAGACTACCAGTGATGTGCACACAGGTACAGCCATCCCTTTAAAATATTTGGGAAGACTCGCGGCACCACAGAGCTAGGCTGAGTCAAATTATTTTTGACATCCGCAGCAGATGAAAAGTAACTTGGAGAAGAGGCCATCAATGAGCTGTGCAATGTGGCTGCATGTCTCATGTCTGCATTTCTGTTTCAGAGGGACTGCTCCTAAGTAGCACTGATATCACCAAGTATAGTCATGCATACATGATATGTAAAGTCAAATATAGTAGTAACTCATTTTTTTCTACCCTACCCAGAAGAAAATTTGATG